ATATTCAACCGCTTTTGTAGTCAATTCTCCTAACTTATTATTTAATAAAATACACACTTTTTTTCTTATTCATAATTAAAGAAAATAGTACGTATACGAATGTTACTGATGACGTTCATGTCCACTCGGGATTTTTGTAAAAAGCTTTTACACCATAAAACCATAGGGCCTACCCCCGTCATCAGGGCGGCCGAGTACCAAAAACAGTCCCCAAAACCGATCTCCAGAGTGACAGTCACAAACCAACACTACAGTCACAAACCGAAAAGGTTGACGGAAAAAAAATCCGTGGCAATAATTCGCTCATAAAAACCGCAGGCTGTCATCCCGAGTTGATCACCTGTGAGATAGATGACGGTGGGTATGCCGCCACGCAGGCGCCAGCGATAAGTAGGCGAAATCTTGGGGGGATTGGGACGGGGTACGACCTGATGTCAGTCACCGGCGGTCATCAACATCGCGCCGCGGCACAGGTGCGAGCTTGACGGCAGAGCTGTGCGGAGGGAACGTAGCAGAGGCGCGGCTAGGGCCGAATGAACCGGCTGATAGATTTCAGGTAGACAGAAATAGTGAGATGAACGTGGGGAAATGGAATGTAGGGGTAGGCTGCAGTATTCCGATGTAACTGGGTTTTTTTGGGTTCATATTACCGGTAAAAGGGAATATACATGTACAACATTTGCTTTTGCTGTAATTCTTTCTCATTTCGTAAACTTTAATACTTCTGCCTGGACAATAACTTTTACTAGTTTTAGGACATTTCCCAACCCCCAATCAATCGTGCTTATTGGCAAGCAGAAGTAAGTATACTCATTTCAAGAATCATAATTTCTTCAAAATTTTACATTTTCAGAAATGGTGGATTTGGGGGTAATATTTCATAGCAAATATTTTTACACTGACTTGTTTGAAGTTTTGTGTTTGTAGCTAAATGCTAGTCTGAGTATCACCCATTATCCATGGAGCAAGTCTCCTGTGTAACACCTGATATTTCTAGACATGCAGATATATGCAAGCCGCGGCCAGCCATTGGAGTCGACTTTACTAAAATCATGACGTCATTTCATTCCCACATCAGGACTAAATGGTTTGATTGGTCAATTAGAATGCAGTGTTTTGTAATACAACCGCCTGGCGCATTATCGCTTAACATAATACAGAGTGCGTGACACAGTTTTTTTTATCCATTGTCTATGACACACAACGGGTGAATGACCGAAGACCCGATATAGAAAGTGCCCGCTGATTGATCAAAAAATCTAGAGGTCAAGAGGCGGTTGTCTTGCCTAATTATTAAAATTAATCAGCGAATCTGCTCACATATCATGGACCACGGCATTCACCGTGGGCTATTACAATTTACATAGACAAGCTAAATGCTGGAAAAACCAAGAAAAGCAATTATGTTCCTGTAGTCTGGTTCCCTGGCCCCATTTAAGATGAAACTTATAGACATCGGGAATTGTAAGGTCAGGGAACCAGTCTAGTTGGCTTGTACCCGTTCGTAAGTGTGTAAATCGATCGCAAACAAAATCTAACTGTGGAAAATTGGGGGGGGGGGG